CCTTATTGATTGCAGTAAAGGCTCCAGGAGCTGAATAGCCTGCTCCAGCATCTTTGTTTTTTTTAAAAAAGTAAACATAAAAATAAAGCAATAAACTTCTGTCTTTCTATCCGTTCTAAGCACACACATTCATCGGCTGCATTTTCAGATTCATTTGACTTTTCTAAACACAGATCTAGGTAATTACAGAATGTCAGAAAGAAATCCAAAACACTCAGCAAAGATACCTAGCACAGGTGAGATGGGAAGAGTGGTATTTTCTTTGTTCTGTGGCTAAGGACTAATCCCATCCTCCGTCCTTGTTGACCCAGGCTGGGTTGGCCTCACAGTACAGAGCAGGCAGGGATCTGAGTTTATCCTGAATTGAATCCTGTGATGTAGGGTCTAGTTTCCGGGCGGCTTGATGATATCATACACTGTGCTTGGTAACTCACAAGTGTCATTGTGTATTACATTCTGCAGAAAAAGCAAAACGTCTGGTTTGTGATAAAAAGCACAGACATTCCCGATCATTCATTTGTGGGATGTGGGCGTGGCTGGCAGGGTGAGGATTTATTGCCCCGTCCCTAATTGCCCCCCTTGAAAAGGTGGTGGTCGGCTGCCTTCTTGATCCACTGCAGTCCATGTGCTATACTTAGACCCACAATGCCCTTAGAGAGGGAATTCCAGGATTCTGACCCAGCGACACTGAAGGAACGGCGATATATTTCCAAGTCAGGATGGTGAGTGGCTCAGAGGGGAACTTGCAGGGAGTGGGGGTCCCATGTATCTGCTGCCCCTTGTCCTTCAGGATGGAAGTGGCCATGGGTTTGGAAGATGCTGTCTAAGGATCTTTGGTGAATTTCTGCAGAGCATCTTATAGATGGTACACACTGCTGCTACTGAGCGTCGGTGGGGGGAGGGAGTGGGATGTTTGTGGATGTGGTGCCCATCAAGCGGGGGCTGCTTTGTCCTGGATGGTGTCCAGCTTCTTGAGTGTTGTTGGGGCTGCCCCCATCCAGGGCAAGTGGGGAGTATTCCTTCATACTCCTGACTTATGCCTTGTAGATGGTGAGACAGGCTTTGGGGAGTCAGGAGGTGAGTTCCTCGTCGCAGTATCCCCAGCTTCTAGTCCTATGGCTAGTCCAATTCAGTCTCTGGTCAATCATATCCCTAGGATGTTGATACTGGGGATTCAGCTTTGGTAATACCATTGAAAGCCCAGCAGAGCGGCTCAGGGATAGTTGGGTACAGTGGCAGTAAAGGATGGTACATGCGCGTGTGTGTCCCAGTGAAATCTGAGGGTGTGTGATACCATTGTGTGCATGAGTATGTGATTGTGAATCTAATCACTCACCCTATACTGGGACGATGGTGTTGGACGAGTTTGTAATAGAAATGATTCTCAGTTGCTATTGGGAGTCAGACTGAGTGAAACATTGCGACAGATCAGATGATATCCGTCCCATTGACATGATGTGTTGTGGGTACGTATGGATGTCTGTATTAGAAATTCGGGATTCTGAATATATGGAGACCTGTGTAAGTGAGTGTTTGTGATTGTGAGTGCAAATACACCCCTCTATCCTCATTTCAATGTCAATGCTATTGAACATCCCTCAGTGTTATTAGCAGGGAGTCTGACCCAGTGAAAGTGAAGCAATGTTCTGTCCTCATCGGAGTGGGGAATGTGTGTGCGCGCATGCGTGCATGTGTGTGCGTGCGTGCGTGTGTCTCAGAGAATTGGGAATGGGGCTTGAAGATGATTGTGTTCCCACCACTGGAGTTTATTTAGTCAAGTAAGGCAGCCATTTTCCCACTGGAAAACCAAGGATCGTGCAATATGTGTAATTCTAGGGCTTGGATACAGATGGACAGAATGTATTTGTGAGGGGAGGGGCCTCAGTGAACCAGTAAATATTCAGCTTCTGGGGGTGAAATGTGTCCCCCAACTCACCAACGCACCTACCACCACCACTCCCCCACCCCCCACCGCCCCCACCTGTTTACCCATTACCATTTCATTTCCTTCTGGGGGAGGGCGTTTTTCTTCACGTCTACACACTGGTTGCACTTGACAGTAAACAGTTGATGGGTTATCCATAGCATCCTGTATGTTTCGCTGCTTTTTTGAAGCTTTGAAATGGAAGAATAGACAATAGTGAATGACATGTGCATTTACTGATGGAGCCCCGCTATTCGGGGCACTTGCTCACAGCCTGTCGCTCCCCCAATCACCCCCACCAACTCTCCACCTGTACTCAGTTCCAGTCAAGAGTCATTTTGCTCTGCTTCGCACTCAATTTACTCACTGCCATCTCTAGGTTTGCTATTCCACTACATGTGTCTTCACTTCCTTACCTCTCTATTCAGAATATAACTTGATTCACCAGGAGAGTGATGAGAATCATGAACCTGGGTGAACTTCAACTCTATTCACCTCCACCCACTCCCTATCTAATCTATGGAAGGGTCCTGAGGCCAGTACAGGCCTCACTACCCCCTGTCTGATATAGTACCTACTTCAGTTCCAGCCCTGGTGGGAGGGACAGACAATATTGGAACGTGGGATCTTTCTGGGCCTGTCTGTGTGTGTGCCTGTGTATGGATCACAGTTCCCCTGCAGAGTGAATCCTTTGGTTCAAATTGCCATCATTCCTGCCCAAACCTCAATGACCCCTTCCCCTCATTCCTGCTTTCCCAGAGTTGATACTGCCAAATTCTCACTCAACCCAAGATCAGAAGCCATCATGCCATGGAAACTTGGTTTCAACAACTTGCCTTCATCATGCAAAGATGTTTTCCGCAACGTAACTTGTTTCTTCAGAACATAGCATACAAGACAGAGAAATAGTATACCCAAAATAAGTGCAATGTAAGGTAAGCGTGTTGATAACTCTGTAAGTGGGAAAGAAAGTGTTTCAGTTAGATCAATGCAAATTGCAAATACTGTGCTATATGCATCTACTCAAATAGTCCTCTCTCACACACTCACTCAATAACAATTCTGCATCATCATCCCACGTAATTAACCGCTGTTAATCCAGCTCCCTCACACTGTCACTCAGTAACCCCACTCTCCCAGTGCCCTCTGTTACTGAAAGTCTCTCTACTGCTGTAATTCCAGCTCCCTCACACTGTCACTCAGTAACCCCTCTGTACCAGTGCCGTCTGTTAATGACTGTATGTCTACTGCTGTTAATCCAGCTTCTCACACTGTCGTTCAGTAACTCCTTTCTCCCCAGCGTGCTGTGTTACTTACTGTATCTCTTCTGAAGTTAATCCAGCTCCCACACACTGTCACTCAGTAACCCCTCTTCCACGCCCTCCCAGCCCCCTGTGTCACTGACTGTATCCCTACTGATGTTAATCCAGCTCCCTCACACTCAGTCTATCCCCTCTCTCCCCAGCACCCTGTGTTACTGACTGTATCTCTTCTGACGTTAATCCAGCTCCCTCACATTGTCCCTCAGTAACCCCTCACTCCCAGTGCCCTCTGTTACTGATCGTTTCTCTACTGCTGTTAATCCAGCTCGCTCACACTGTCACTCAGTAACCCCTCCCCCTCCAGCGCCCTGTGTTACTGACTGTATCCCTATTGATGTTAATCCCTCTCCCTCTCACTGTCACTCAGTAACCCCTCTCCCCCCAGTGCCCTGTGTTACTGACTGTATCTGTACTGATGTTAATCCAGCTCGCTCACACTATCACTCAGTAACCCCGCTCTCCCAGTGCCATCTGTTACTGGTAGTCTCTCTACTGCTGTAATTCCAGCTCCCTCACACTGTCACTCAGTAACCCCTCTCCCCCCAGCGCTCTTTGTTACTGACTGTATCTGTAC